AAGATGATGGATTATCTCATACTTGATTGCGATGCGTCGAATTTCGGTATAGAGGAGTTTTGTCACAAATGCAGTTTAGTGAAAAAACTTGGACAGTACTGTATCGAGAAGCAATAGCATATGCGAGCCAAAAGCTTGAATAAGGCTCAAAGACGCTATTGTGTAACACGTCAGGGAACTGTTGGCAGTTGTTACATTTGTTTACTATGTTTAAACAGTATTTGTTAGGACGTTCGTTCTTAGTGAGAGTGATCATTCTTCATTCAAGATGATTATGTCCTTCAAAGAACCAGAAAATCAGATTGCTTGAAGTGCTATCACAATATGACTTTAAGCTAGAGCATCGCAAAGGGGAACTAAGCATGGAAATGCTGACTTTTTGTCGAGGATTCCGTGTGACCCTTGTTCGTGTACCTGTTATAGTGGTCACTCAATTCTAAGTGAACTTCCGTGTGGCGGTTGTAAAGAATGTGTGAAAAAGCTGATGAACAGTGGTCAGAACTTGCAGATTTTGATGATGTGGTTCAACTGGTGTCTAAGAAAGTCAAGCGAGTCAGAGGAAAGGTGTTCCTGCCGACTTAATTAGGACTGTCCTGCATCAGTCCTGAATTTTCTGTTTGTTTTTGCGTTGTATCTGGGAGCGTTTCTCAGGCAAATTGAACAGAAATTTCGTGGTTGTGAGAAATTTGTTTCTGTGAGAAGACTTAGGGCAAACGGAGGAGAAACGTGCACCTAAGTCTGGTGCTGCGGATAACATTGATTTAAGTGATGCCACCAAGAGAAGGATATGGCACAGACATCACATGCAGGGGGTCTGTACCCAAATGGTGACATTTCTTCTGAAAAAGTGTATAAGTTCTCAAATTGGGTAGGTTCGTATACCACAACTGAACTTATAAAAATGCAGAAAGAGACAGTGACTATAGGCAAATCTTATTTTGGCTGTCTAGTTCTGAATATTAGACCGCCACGTGACAAAAGTTGCCGCTGAAAGTCCAGCGACAAGAAGTTTATGGTTGCAGTGGTCTCAGTTGTATCTTAAAGATGGAAATTTTGTTAAGGAAGTTTATTCAAACAGATAATGTTTACCAGTTATGATCAACTGTGTTACCCATCACTTTTACGTAATCAAGTTATTAAAGCTTCACATAATGCTATCTATCTGGACATTTAGGGGTCAAGAAAACACTGGCAAAAATAAAAATGGAAACTTTTACTGGATATAAAAATGTCATCTTCTGTGAAACTAATGGATTAAAACAATGTGCTTTCTGTGGAGCCAGAAAGAAACCAAATAAGAAAGCTAAGGCAAACCATTACAGGAATATTATGTTGGATTTCCTATGGAACAGAGTTTCAACAGATATTTTTGGTCCGTTTCCCATTTTCAGAGAGCAAAAAATAGGTACATTTTAGTCGTTATGGACAATTTTTACGAAATATGTTGAATGTTACGCTATACCAGACCAACGTGCTGAAAACAGTTGCAATAAGATTAGTGTTCGAGAATATTTCTGTAGATTTGGATTACCGCTGGACTTACATTCAGATCAAGGAAAGAATTTTCAGTCTGAATTATTTAGACAAATGTGTTGTTTATTAGAAATAATCAAACAAGATGTACACCATACAGAGCATCTTCTAATGGTATGGTGGAACGCTTTAATCAGTCTTTGCTTAACCTTATTACTACTTATGTGAATGAAGAACAAACAAATTGGGATTTGTACTTGCCCATAATGACTAGTGCCTACAGATCAAGTGTCCATGAAAGTACTCAATATACATACACTAACATGTTAATGTTTGGAAGAGAGTTTAACTTACAGTAAATTTTTCTAGTAGGACATTCTTGTCAGTCTGAAAAACTTTTGAGAATTATACTGACTATGTAGTTGGTTTAAAATGAGAAATTTTCAAGAATATACAGTATTGTTCGAGAGAATTTGAATAAATCTTCACAAAGACAAAAACGTGATTATGATACAAGAATTTCCATGAATAATTATAATGTTGGAGATGTTGTTTACTGTCTTGATTCATCAAGAACGGTCGGGAAAAGCCTAAGTTAAAGGCTGAAGTTTGGAAGGGACCATTTGTAATAACACGAAAAATCAGTGACTTGTTATTTGAAATAACAGGATCCTCAAAATCAAAACCCAAAAATTGTCCATCATGACAGACTTAAGAAATATCAGTGTTCAACTATACCACAATGGGTTGTAGGCCTGCAAAAACAGCTTACAACAACTAAAACTATTAAAAAAGAACACCACTTTATTTACACCAATAAATAACAATAAGGAGGTCAGTCCCCGGAGAGGAGAAAGATGCAGGAGACATCCAGACAGGCTTTTGTTATGATAACCTAAAGTAGAATGTCAAAACCTAGAATTTTGCAACCCTGGAAAATGAATCACAGGTTTGGGTCAGCTTATATAAAAGGGTAATGACAGCCCACCAAAGTATTTGCAAATGTGCTTTGGTTCCATTTTTAAACTGTAATTATATTGTTTGAATTCTTTAAAAATTAAAATAGTGCAGCTAGCATTCAAGACTATCAAAGAACTTTAACTTCACACATACAAAAAGAAATTAGACATATTCAAACAGAAAAAAAACAAGCAATGAGTGGACTTTCTAAAATGTCTCACTGAACTTAACAAAGTGTGTTGGAGATTGTGAATTAAATTGAAGAGACAGGGAAAACTGTTATGGGATTTTATCTAATTGAACAGTAGAATACTTATGTTTTATATTTCATAAAAATCCATAATGCTTATTTGTTAATTTGTTTAGTTTTGCTTATGTTTAATCTGCATAATATCATATAACACTTAGTAGTTTTTCACATGTATTGTTTAATAACACTTAGTAGTTTTTCACATGTAATGTTTAGTACCAATATTATTCTTTTATTATTATTTCAATTTCACTTAACAAGAGTTTTCAAGGTTTGTTTCAAATTTAAAAACTCAACATGTGTAAATTAATTGGTTTTCTTTCCGGAGTAAGCAAAGTCCAAAGATGGGAGAGTGTTGTGAAATTTGAAACTAGTCTGTTACTAGAAGAGTATTCTTTTAGGATGGTAAATCTGGACAACATTTTTTCTAAGCTGGTTAAAATGTTTATGTTAACTTTTACTCATTTTTTGTTGTAAAACAATTGAGTCATTAACAGTCCAAGACATTGGCACAGCTCAGTTATTTTTAGATTATGAGCATACCTCATTCCAAATTTGGAAAGGTCGCGCAGACAAAGGTCGCGCGACACTTTAGGTCGCGCAATAGGAAAGGTCGCGCAGAATCAAGCTTTACCAGGCATGCTAGTCCAAATATGGAGAGGTCGCGCAATAAGAGGTCGCGCAGACTAAAAGTACAAGGTTTAAGTTATTTTTTTAGCCCATTCAGCATCTCAATTGTTGTTTACAAACAATAATTTGGTCATATCAGATTTTATGAATGGGATTCCTTACGCAGCTTTATCCTTTGTACAGGTTACTTGGTTCAAATGTTGAGCTGTATGTTGTAAAGCTGGAGAGATTATATTTCTGTTTGTTTAATGAATTATCAGTCAGTATTATTAGTTTATAGAATTGTCAATCAGTAGTAAGTGTATAGGTCTTATAAGCCATATATAGTACATATATCTTTATTAATACAAGTGTATTTTGCACTATTACATGTATTAAGTTGCATTATTGGACAGATAATAATTATCCTATTGAGTGTTAACATGTAAATTTATATAACTATTATGTATTTTTGTACTTATGTTTGTATTGTACAACAGTCTGTATACCTTAACCAGTTGCAGGCCATTTTGAACATTGTTAAGGCATTGTCAGCACTTTTAATAGGTTGCGCAACATTCAGGTCGCGCAATGAGTTGTGTGCCAAACTGGTTAGCGCAAGTGGGTCGCGCGACAGTCTACTTTTGCACACCACCCTAGCTGCGCAAACAGAAGGGTATATAAGCTGGGAACTTTTCTAGCTGGGTGGGTTTTTGAGGAGTTTGGAGTGAGTTGAGGTTTTGAGTTGGAGTTGGTGAGTTGAGTTAGTTAGTAATTGAAGAAATGTATTTGTTGAAGTTGTTAAGAATTTTACTTTGGTTTTGACTGTTGATAGAAAATAAAATGATGCATTATTTTGATTTACTGCAATAAATATAATCCTGCTTTCACTTGGACTTGACTTGTTCATTATACCAGCATAGAGAAATGGTTTACTTTTAAGCGAAAAGAGTGAATAAACTAAACTTTTCACAAAAAGAGAAGTTTTCGTAACAATACTACAATGCAAGAAAAATTAATAAATTGTATCTACTTCTTCTCTTAAATGCTTTCAAGAAAGAGTAAAAAACTAGTTTGAGCAAAGAAGTAAATTTTCTGACATCATTTGGTATATCGGGGTTGTATCACATGACGTGTAAGCATTCCTTTTTTTATGACATGCATTATATAATCATAATAATAATGCACTCGACAGTCCTATCTCTTTGATTTGGTAATAAAGTGAAGTGTGTAAAAATATGTATTCATGTACAATATTACTATTTCATTTGTGTTATTAATATTCATGTACAGTATTATTGTTCATTAACAGTATTAGAATATTCATGTACAATATTATTGTTCATTAACAGTATTAGAATATTCATGTACAGTATTATTGTTCATTAACAGTATTAGAATATTCATGTACAGTATTATTGTTCATTAACAGTATTAGAATATTCATGTACAATATTTTATATTCATTCACAATATTTATTTACATATATTTTATTATGTATTTAATTTTTATGTACAAACTTCTTTGGCACAAGTCACAGTCCTGCTATCTCAAATTAAAGTCCCCCATGTCTTGTATTGATTTACACAACAACTTTAAGAAAAGTTGACTTTAGCTGATGTTGCTCTGACAAATGAAAATTTGTGTAACAAGAAAAAGTAAATTTTATTCTTTGGTATTTATAAAAAATAAATTTCTATTCTTCAGGTCAAAGAACAAAAACAAGATGACACATATTCCGGTAAATTATGTTTGGGTTGAGGGAGACAACTCTAAATACAGTCATGACAGTAATAGCTATGGACCTGTGAGTTGTCTTTCTTAGTTTACAGATCATGGCATTTTGATAAGTACTAAGTTAGAAAGAAGGTTGATGAGAATTATTGTTACTTTTATTAGCTCACCTGTCACAAAGTGACAGGGTGAACTTTTGTGATCGCTTTTCGTCCGGGGGTGAACTTTTGTGATCGCTTTTCGTCCGGTGTCCGTCCGTCCGTCCGTAAACTTTTACTTTAGATGACATCTGAGCCAATTTTATCCAAACTTCACAGGAATGTTCCTTTGGTGGTCACCTTTAAAAATTGTTCAAAGAATTTAATTCCATGCAGAACTCTGGTTGCCATGGCAACCAATAGAAAAAACTTAAAATATCTTCTTTTAAAAAACCCAAAGAGGTAGAGCTTAGATATTTGGCATGAAACATCTTCTAGTGAGTGTCTATCAAGTTTGTTCAAATAAAAGCCCTGGGGTCCAAAATTGGCCCCGCCCCGGGGGTCATTGATTTTCCCTATATGCATATAGTAAAAACTTTAAAAAATCTTCTTTAAAGAACCCAAAGAGCTAGAGCTAAGATATTTAGCATGAAAACATCTTCTAATGGGTGATCTACCAAGTTTGTTCAAATAAAAGCCCTGGGGTCAAAATTGGCCCCTGCCCCAGGGGGTCATTGATTTTCCCTATATGCATATAGTAAAAACTTATAAAATCTTCTTTTAAGAGCCCAAAGAGCTAGAGCTAAGATATTTAGCATGAAACATCTTCTAATGGGTGTCTACCAAGTTTGTTCAAATAAAAAGCCCTGGGGTCAAAATTGGCCCCGCCCCAGGGGTCATTGATTTTCCCTATATGCATATAGTAAAAACTTTATAAAATCTTCTTTTAAAGAGCCCAAAGAGCTAGAGCTAAGATATTTAGCATGAAACATCTTCTAATGGGTGTCTACCAAGTTTGCTCAAATAAAAGCCCTAGGGTCAAAATTGGCCCTGCCCCGGGGGGCATTGGATTTCCCTATATGCATATAGTAAAAACTTATAAAATCATCTTTTAAAGAACCCAAAGAGCTAGAGCTAAGATATTTAGCATGAAATATCTTCTAATGAGTGTCTATCAAGTTTGTTCAAATAAAAGCCCTGGGGTCAAAATTGGCCCCGCCCCAGGGGGTCATTGATTTTCCCTATATGCATATAGTAAAAAACTTATAAAATCTTCTTTTTAAGAACCCAAAGAGCTTGAGCTAAGATATTTAGCATGAAACATGTTCTTATGGTGTCTTACCAAATTTGTTCAAATAAGAGCCCTGGGGTCAAAATTTGCCCTGCCCCGGGGGGTCATTGATTTTCCCTTATATGTGTAAAGCAAAAACTTTAATTAAAAAATTCTTGAAAAAAAATAGCTAGAGTTTTAGATACTAAGCATGAAACATCTTCTAGTGAGTGTCTACAAAGTTTTTTCAAATAAAAGCCCCTTTGCAGTCAAAATTGGCCCTGCCCCGGGGGTCATTGATTTTATTTATTTGTATAGCAAAAACTTATTAATATCTTCTTTGAAAAAAACCAAATAGCTAGAGTTAAGATATTAGCATGAAACATCTTCCAGTTAGTGTCTTCAAAGTTTGTTCAAATAAAGCCCTAGGGTCAAAATTGGCCCTGCCCTGGGGGACATTGATTTTCCTTATATGTGTATAGCAAAAACTTAAAAATCTTCAAAAAAACGAATAGCTAGAGTTTAGATATCAAGCATGAAACATCTTCTAGTGAGTGTCTCCAAAGTTTGTTCAAATAAAAGCCCTGGGGTCAAAACTGGCCCCTCCCTAGGGGTGTCATTGCTTTTAACTATATGTGTATAGTTAAAACTTAAAAAATCTTTTTCTAAAAAACTCAACAAGCTAGACCTTAGATGTTTAGCGTAAAATATCTTCTAATTGGTGTCTACCAAGTTTGTTCAAATAAAAGCCCTGGGGTTTAAACTCGCCCCGCTCTGGGGGCCTATATACAGGTGAGCGACTTCAGGGCCATCATGGCCCTCTTGTATAATTTTTAGCTCGACTATTCGCAGAATAAGTTATTTTTAAAGTAATAATCTTCTTTACTATAACCCATATATCTGAAATGGAATTGGCATTTGAATATTTATGGGAAAAGTTGAGCTGACTGATCTTAAATGTAATATTAAAAAAGAAAAATATGCAAAAGAGAGTTATGGCCCTTAAAGACTGCACTTTACCTATAGCCATTTGTGAAGCACAATATTTTCAATTCAGATATAAAAATAAGAATTGATAATTACAAAGGGTTTTAACTTCTAAATAACTTATGGTTCTTGGGCATTACATTTTTCTTCCTTGAGATCTATCAATCTTTCTAGTAAGTTTGAAATTGATATAGTCATATAATATTTTTGATGTATGTCCTGGACATTTTTGAAGAAAAAACAACAAAGGAAAAAAAACTCCATAATTCGTAAAGTATTGATTGTACTTGGCTCTGCACTTCTTTCCATCTATGATGTTTCTAGTTGATAAGTCCAATACGTTTTGAGGTATGCTGCAAACAAAAATCAAAATATGGAATAATATAAAGAGCAATTTCTCAAAAACTACTCAAAATACAGTTTTGGTTCTTGGTCATTACACTTCTCCTTAATAAAATCCATCAATGAATGAAGTTTCATGTTGATACCTGCGATATTTTCTTGCCCCAGTCAAAATTGACATTTTAAAGAGTATTTTCATTAGTAGAGTTCCAGTTTTTCAGTCATTTTCATCGTCATTTTTATGATATATATATTATCATTTATACTTTTAGGTTTCAAGAAGCCTCATTACAGCAAAAGCAACCCATGTTGTTTGGCCACCAAGCAGATGGCAAAAACTGGATTCTGTTGAAATAGCCTCAGACCGTGTATTAAAACATGAACAATATGCCTTACAACTTTAACAATTTACAGTATTTTGAGAGGAATTTTAAGGATGTTTAAACTGTGATGAGTGTCATTAGGTTTGATATTTAATGCCTTCAATGTTTTTATCAACTACATATGTACATGTATTGAAACAAAGTAGATAAGTAACTTAGACATGGATTTGATCACCAGAGCATAACATAACGGTTAGGTAATGCTTAGCATAGGACAGTACTCAGCATAACCACAATAGATCAAGTAACTACAAGTAAAATGGTTTCCTGCGGGGAACATTTATAATGATTTAAAGATATTTCATTTAACTATTTTCAACATTGTTTGGGAAAAAAATAGAAATAAAATAACGTTTGTATCAGGAATATAGTTGAAAATAATCGATCAATAGAAGAAGGTCTTTGGTCTTGGTCGAAAATAAAACAATATTTCTGTTTAAGAAAATGATTGAATACCTTTGTATGAATAATGTCGTGCAAAATAAAATAAAATAAAGTAAACACACAAGTTTTCGCAGAAAATATCTCTATCTATTATGGCAGATGCCACAAACGAATGTTTTAATTCTGTGGATTTTCACTATAAACAATTTATTGTTTGTAAAATTTCAGATAGATATTAAAGAAACAGTGATAATTTACAAACACATCATGCAAGTTTTTCCACCTTAAACGGTAAAATAATAATAGAAAATTATAAATATCACGTAAGAGTGTTATGTTCTTAATTAGGTCTAATTCGGACTAATTCCCTAGCCATTGTGTACACCGGTCATTTAAGAGACCGATGTGTCCTAGAGATAAATCCGTTTTGATTATTACCGATAACATGTAAGGGATACAGAGAATATTGATGACTTTTTTTAAAAAGTCATAAATGTAATTATGAGACTGTAATGCATACATAATATTGTACAGTTTTTGTTATTATGAAAAATGTTATTATATGATATCTATGACTTGTAGTATTAAAAAGGAAACGCTGTATTAATTTTGGTCTCGAATTTTCCAGAATTCTATTGAGAGACCACTTTATTAATAGACTGCTTTTTGGCAGTCCCTTGAGTGGTCTCATAATACAAAGTTGACTGTATAACGTGCATGTATGAAAGGGCCCTCCCTATACCTGTTAAAAGAAATATTTGCTACTGAGGTATTTCTGGACAGAAGGGATTGATTTCCTTTAAAATACAAACATTTTCAAAAGTATTTTTCAAAGCAATAAACAGGATATATGATTTA